CCGCCCCCTCCCTGGACTGTACCCCCATCCACCCTGACGGTCCGCCCCCCGGCCGCCCACCCATGGCACGGTGGGCCCGTCCCCGCCCCTGCACAGGGGTGCTGCGTCTCTGTGCCCTCTTCATCCCCCGCTATGCTGGGTCCGCTGTGTCCTCCCCAACTCCCCGTTTCCCCACCCCCCACCTGGAGGCTGAGGAGTAGAGCCCTTTGGAGAAGCTAAGGCTGGCTAGAGGGCCAACCTTCCAGACCCCGGCCCCTGATTGCCTTCCTCACTTCTGCCCTCGCAGCACCGCAGCGTCTGCAAACCCCCTGGGCCAGCCCCTCCCTCTCTCAGTCTTCTTTCCCCTCTGCACACAGCAGGGGTGGACCAGCACCCCTTCCTCTTTGAGGGCAGGGTGTCCCCTCCTGCCCCTCCCAGTGTCACCAGCTCAAAGATGGTCCCCCTGTCTTAGGTCCCTCTGGTGGGACAACGCCTTTCGATGTCATGTTCAAGTCCGCTCCCCACTCCCTCCAGTATGGCCCACCCCCAGCGGTCCTGAGGCCTCCTTAGTGTTTAATGGGGCCAAGTCCAAACTTGGGGCTACCCTGAGGCTGCCTGATGGCCCAGCCTCATTCACCCTAGTTCCTCCTGCACCCTGTGCTGACCCCACTGCCTGCCTTTGTTCAAACTCCGCCCCTCCACCCTCTTCCAGCGCCTGCTCAGCTCCTGCTCCTTCCCAGAGCCCTCTCTGCTCCCAGGCTGGTGGGCTCTCCAGCCTCCTCTCCCAGCCTCCCCCATAGGCTTTGGACCAAGCCCTGGGCAGGCAGTGGGACCCACAGCATCTGCCATAGCAGATGATGGAGGGGGCAGTGCAGGAACCGGCCTAGATGAGGGAATAGCGGGGCAGTGGCGGTGCTGAGAGACCAGAAGGAGGTGCCAGCCTATAAGCACAGTCCCCTCGGCCACCAAGCAGGGTCTTCTAGTAAAACCCTCATAGCTCACGTCAGCCTAACCCCTCCCCCCCCAGGGACCCCCTAACCAGAGGGGAAACAGACATGCCTGGGTGCGGGAGCAGCTGTGAGGTGTGAAGC